AGCCTCTGCGCTGCCGATGCACATCCAGATGGGCACCCGGGCCTTCTCCAGCGCCGCCAGGAGCTCGTCGTCCCACCCGCGCAGGAGCCAGTAGGGGCTGTAGACGCAGTCCTGCAGCGCATCCTGGCGGCAGCGGGAGGGGCAGAGAGAGGCGCAGCGCGGGCAAGGCCTTCAGCATGCTTCAGGAAGCCGAGTCAGGGTGGGGGGAGAGGGAAAGAGAGGGAGAGAGAGAACAAGACCAAAAACATAACAAGCTCCCGTTGAAAACAAAAAAACGAGGGAGGCACACAGAGGAGTTGAGAGCCAGGCGGTACCGCCGCCCCCCCCCGCCGTCGTGGCCTGCAGTCACGAGGTGTATCCCCGCGGCGCGGAACAAAAGACCCAGGCATGGACAGAGGCCGCCGCAAGCGACGACCTCTGCTTCCTCACACAACGCAACACTCTTCATTATGCGCACTCACGCATCGCCTCAAGGAGATGAATCACCAGGGGGGTCGTCACATCCTCGAGGAGGACGACCCTTCAGGACGCCCCGAGCAGACCCCCCACAACCTCCCAACACGCCTGGAATCATCCAAGAACCTCTTCGAACCTCGATCCTCAGGTTGGAGCTGACAAGACGCATACAGCCCTGAGAGCATCGTCTTCTCTGTACCTGACTGCCCCCGGGTCTCCTCGGAGCCCACGTAGGTGGCGTCGATCGCGGAGAATTTCTGCCTCCCCTCTCGTACATCGCGATGTATTCTGAAGCGGTAGATCCAACACCTTAGACCTGGAACCGCTCAAGATAGCATGGCGATAGCCTCGGAAGCCATGTGACGTCAGCACGGAGCAAGTCTAGCCCAATGCATCAGCAAAACAAAACCGTTCATGCGGGAGGAGGATAGAATACCCTCCCCGAATCAGGAATGCACAAAGGCTGGAGACAGAAAATGAAACATGGCATACGAGAATTCCACCAGTGCTACCAACCCTCTAGGATCAGCTCTTCCAAGGTAACCTCAACTTCTGTGTCGGGGAGGGCCTCATGGAGCATTGGAGATTGCCCTGGGCGCCTCCCAAATTATCCGATACTCCCACCCGCCTGCAATACAGCGCAAGACGGCCGAAGTTGTCACCAGTATGTGTCCAACATGTCTCCATCAGGCTCCAAGAAGGCCCGACGATGATCGTGAAACAGCTCTAGCGCCTCCCAAGTACAGAGGGATGCACTCGAGAAGCCGAAATAGTCGCACCCCTTCGACGTCCGATGGGCCTCTGCGGTCTCGTAGGGGCCCCGAGACGATCGCCAAGAGTCCATAAGCGGGACCCAGGAGACATAGCAGGGCCGCAAGAGGGACTCCCCAAAAACGTGGGCTCAAATGGACCAACGTGGGCTCAAAAAAGAAGGCTGCTAATTTGAAGGGGCCCTGGGACACACAAATACATAGACACAACTAATTCCCCATATTTCCTTGTATTTTCTGGCTTTTGTCTTCCCACGCACTTCCCATAATTTCCCATATTTTCTGGGGAATCGACGATTGATTGTGTCTGTGTGTTTTCCCCCTCCTGATATCTAAGCGCCCGGCACGTGTGTGTGCCGATGGCCTTCAACCACGGCCCCAACCGGGCCCCAGAAGAGGCCGAGAAGGCACTGAAAAACGTAACCGGCAATCCAACAGAGCCCAAAAAACAGTTCAATAATACAAAAACATAACAAGCAATCCAAAACACAATCCAACAACATACAGTCGGGGCGTTGACCTAAAGAACCCTGAATAAGGAACGAGGCCCTTGTTTTCCGCACATCGATTTCCTATCGAAAACATAAAGAAAACCTGAGGCAAGCTGCGAAACACGTAAGGAACGCGGAGCCCCTCCCCAACCAAAAGGGTTCCTTCTTCAGGGCCCCGACTGTAACATAACAAGCAATACAACACCATAACAAACAATCCAAAAAACAGGACTCCAAACTGTTCGCTCTGGCGGCACATATGCCACTGTTTGGGGGGGCAGCGTGGGCTGATCCCAAACTATGTTGACGAATGTGCCCATCATTTTCCACGATTGTCCCGTCACAGCCGTTCCCGCGACAACCCGCCTAAATACCTACGACTCGTTCCTAGATGGGCTGGCGGGGGTATAAAGTGTCAGCACGTGCAATGCAAGCACACCATACGATATCACGAGCGAGAACTAGTATGGATGTGCCAATCGCGCCAAGCAACATAGAACACATGCTCTTTCGCACCTCGAACCCTAAACGCATGTGCGCCCCCCGTCCTTGTTAATGAGACCTCCTCTTGGAAGTATGCGTCGCCAGTGTAGGTATCCTCCCGAGCAATCCCTTCCCGGGGTGCACGCAATCCACTCGTGCAGTGCCAACGCTTCGCATGGTCATCAATATCTGCGTACACGCACATGGCTGCAAGTGTCCGTGCTCCAATGCTCTGTTTGCTACGTATTCGTGCGTCCAGTGCCCAGCTCGTGCATGGTGCACCCGTCGTAGCCATCGCTGCTAGCGACGCCTAGCAGCAACTCCACGCCACGCATGAAAACATACCACGCACACTTGTTGCCCCCTCACGATTGCCAAGCTGAACAACTGCGTCCCTGAGACTCGCCCTGGTGTGCCACCAGGAACCAGCACTACAATGGTAGAATTCCGAAAATCATGTATGTACCCCAAGAACACTGTAGGTCTTCCTGTCCGTAGGAAAAGAGGTGTACACCACGCCCACCGACCCTGACGGCGTGTGCGAGAAGCTGCTTCGTTTGACTCGTAATCGTGGACGCCGGCGTTATCGCCGTCGCCACTCCCATTACGGGCGCCAGCCAAAGCAGAACAGCCTAAGAGAAATCGAGCAGCGTCGCGTCGTAATTGAGTCGAAGGGAAACCTCGTGCCTTTGATCCCTTCCCCGCCAGGGGGGGGGTCTGAAGGGAGTAGGGGGAAATCCCGGGGGGATCCCAAGTCAGAATATCACCCCGCCGGGGGGAGTCCTGGGGCCCACGAAGCCCCGAGGCGCCCCCAAGGAACTGGCAGGAAGCCCCAGGGTGCCCCCAAAGGGGCCTGTGAGGCGCGAGATCCACGGATAGAAAATGGGTGCAAGCTGGGGGCGGCGGCAGGAAGGGGCAGTCTGGCAGCAGAAGTGGAACCATGCACATGCACCGGTCCTGGTCAGGCCCTTCCTGGTCCCTGGATCAGTGAATAACGCCCTCCTGCCTCGGCTGGAAAGGCATGTGCACCGACCCCTGGGCCCAAAATGGATCTGGCAGGTAGCGGTGCGCGAGCATCGCTCTCGTCGCCCGATGAACCAAGATGTGCAAACGGAAGCGGCGCAGCTGCACGACTCAATCCCTGCGCGGGGGAGGAGGAGGAGGAGGAGGAGGAGGAGGAGGAGGAGGAGGAGGAGGAGGAGGAGGAGGAGGAGGAGGAGGAGGAGGAGGAGGAGGAGGAGGCGAGGCGGACGCGGGCTTCGGGACCTGCCGTCGCCGGGAGAGGGTGGCGGCTCGTGAGAGCCGATCACGCGAGGCGGGGGTTTGGCCATGACCACCGCCCGGGGTGGGCCGACCTTAGGGAGGCCTCGGCGGGCTGTGAATGTGAATGGGTGCGGGCCGTGGGCGAGGCCGGATCGATCCCCCCCCCTGACGTGGCAAATCCTTAACTTAACCTGACCCAGGCCCTGTCAACACTGCGCCAAAGCTAACCTGACCCAAGAAAGCTAACGTGACCAACGGCTCGGCAACACCAGTGTCACGCGCGCGCTGTAGCGAGTTATGCACCAGAATGGGGCGGCACAGCAACATGCAATGCAAAAGTGCCAGTTGTATCAGTAATCCCTCTTCAATCCCAATGAAAAATCTGGCTGGCGCTGAAGCGAGAGCAACATTCTCAATCATGGATGTGGCCGGCGCTAATTAGGGCGAGAGCAACTTTCGCAATCGTGGATGCGGCCAGCGCAGAGGCGAGCGTAACTTCCGTAATCATCGTGGGTGTTTCCAGCGCTGAAACGACAGCAACATTTGCAATCATGGATGTGGCCGGCGCTAAGCCGAGAGCAGCTTTCACAATCGTGGGTGTGGCAAGCGCTGATGCGAGAGCAACATGCTCAATGAAGGATGTCGCCAACGCCTAGGCGACATCTGCATTTTCAATCGGACATTTGGCTGGCGCCAAGGCGAGAACGACATTCTCAATGAAGGACGTCGCTGGCGCCTGAGCGGCAGCCACGTTTTCAATCAGAGGTGTGACCCACGCACAAGCGAGGACAACGCGCTCGATGAAAGAGGTCGCTGGCGCCTAGGCGGCAACAAGATGTTTAATCAGAGATGTGGCCCACGCACAAGCCGGAACGTCATTCGGGTCGGGCGAAAGGGGGGGATAGCAAAGGGGGGGTTTGAGAATCAGCTCACGTAGCTGATTTTCCCGGCGCCTCCCGGCGCCGGAGGCGGCCATGCATCGAGGAATGGGCCCCTCGGTGAGGCCGAAACCAGCTGCATGCAGCACATGTCGTAGCCCCCCCTTTCCCGATCCCCCCCTTTCGCCCGGCCCGAACCATTCCGAGACAGACGTGTCGCGAGCAGGCAGGTGCCACGCCCCTTCCGCGCGGCTCGGGCGCGGTGTCGCCGGGCCTGGGCTGCGTTGGTGGGTATCGTCCACGTGCGGGGGACGGGTCGCACCCCCCGCCCGCGGAGGCCCCCCCGGCGGCCATGCACACTTGAAGGGGCCCTGGGACACGCAAAGAAATGCACACCAATAACAGGATTCGACATGTTTTCTTCTATTTTCTGGGTTTCTGTCTTCCCCCCCCACTTCCCATATTTTCCATATTTTCTGGGGATCGACGATTCATTGTGTCTGTGTGTTTTTCCCCCTCCTTAACAATACTCCACCTCGCAGAGATTCGGCGGTGGACAAGCCTCCCTTTCTTAAACACCACCCTTTAGTGAAAGCGGCCTGGGACCGAAACCGACGGGCCTGGACCCGCAGAAATAGCGGCCGCGACGCCCTCTCGCGAACCGAGAACGGCCAATTCCTTAATCGGCGTGTCAGGGCAGGAGGTCTATCCACCTCCGAGAGATGCGCCGTGGCCGTGGGCCCGGGGCTGCACCCCAGCAGGCGCCGGGACGCCAGCAGGAACACCCGCTGCGCGCATGGCCTCCGGCGCGTGTGCGTGGAGTTCGCATGGCGCTGGTTGCGCTGCGCGTGGCGGTGCCCTGCTCCGGCAGCGGCAGCTCGGCAACCGCATCGCCATTAAGGCGCAAGCGCGCGGCGAGGCGCTCGTGCGGGGAGGCTTTGCTCTGAGCAGCCGCCAAGAGCCTATTTTTCTCAGGGGTAGCAGCCGTCATCGGTCCCGCCCCCCCCCCGGCAGCTCGGCAACCGCATCGCCATTAAGGCGCGCGCAAGCGCGCGGCGAGGCGATCGTGCGGGGAGGCTTTGCTCTGAGCAGCCGCCAAGAGCCTATTTTTCTCAGGGGTAGCAGCCGTCATCGGTCCCGCCCCCCCCCCAGCCCCAACTGACGTCACGTTCCGCGCCGGCGGCATCCGGGAATGCCTAGGGATGCCCAAGGCCACATAGGAGCAGCATGTAGGTGGCAATCTGCACCACAACGCCTGTGTGCCCAACGGTGCTCGCGTGCACCAGAGCGCGCGTGTACACCACAGCGCCTGCGTACACCGTAACAGCCGTGTGCAAAGCAACGCCCGTGTACACCGCAGCGTTTGCTTGCACAACATCGCCTGTGTACACTACAGCGAATGTACACACCGCATCAATATTGCGCAACACAAGGCCAGTGTACATCAACAGCGCCTGCGCATACATCAAGAGCCATGTGCAACGCAACACCTGGGTACGCCACAGTGCTTGCGCGTGTACCACAGCGCCTGTGTGCACCACAGCGAATGTTTCACCAGAGCAACCAAGTGCAACACAGCGCAGTTGTACACCACAGTCATTGCGTGCACCGCAGCGCCTGTGCACACCACATCGTCTGTGTACACCACAGCATCTGCGTGCAACGCAGCGCTGATGTACACCACAGCGCCTGCGTGCACAGGACAGATAGAAGGAGCATGTACTTGAGGATCTGCCGCGGACAGCTAAACACCACGCCAGGGAAGTGCTGAGAATGGACTTCTATGTATTTCCCTCCTTCCTCCTCCTCTTCCTCCTCCTCTTCCTTCTCCCTCACCCTTCCCCCCGTCGTGCGGGTCGGCGCTACAACGCACGTGCGCATCTCAGCGTGCACCACGTGCGCACCTCTGAATAGGCTGGAAGCCGATCGCATATTGCGGGGATCACATTCAGAAGAAAGGGACATCTTGAAAAATTACTGAATTGCGTTCTTAGATCGCAACGAACGGACTAAATGCTTGCATTGTCCGGCCCAGCCGGCGCCAGGGAAGAACTGTTGACGGCGACGCTCTGCCCTGGAGAGAAGACTTAAATTATGTACCCCGCGCTCGCTGGGGCCAGGTCGGGCCTGTCCCCCTGCAGGCGGATTTTCGACGACAAAAGAAATATCCGAAGATATTGTTTTGACTGTGTTTGAAAAATCCCCCCTGCAGGAAGCACAGGTGGCTTTTGCGGCACGCTCTGGCGCGAGCGCGCGCCTGGCCCGGGACCCTCCCCTCCGGGAGAAGCTGTCGCAAACAAGAAATAGCCCTCCCCCTCTCTCGCACCCTCCCGCCCCCTCCTCCCTCCCGCTCCTCGAAGATCGAAGGGCAAGTATTGGGCGGCTCTCTTACCTCTGGGCATCCAGAGACCGCCTGAAACTGTGCACGCTGCGGGCATGTCCTTGTGCCGACCGCGGCGCCCATTAGCTCGATGACGCACGATCACCGCGCTGGAGCAGCGATCGGATCGGATCGGATCGCCTGTGCAGGCATGCGCCCGGGCCCCTTAATGGCGAGGCGGGTGAGGCCACGGCCTCGCATGAGAGGCAGCGCGCGTCGGAGGCTTGCTCAGGATTGTACGTACCTCACGAGTTGATGTTCCAATTGTTCCCACTCCTCTGTTGTAGCCCGATGTAAGTGACGTAATTTCCTTGAAGTCGTAGTGTCTGTGGCATGAGCCTGTCGGAGAATCCCGTGGATGCCATCGTCATTTCTCTAACCAAGGAAGCCCAAGCCAAACACGAACGAGTTGAACGCCTCGGAACTCCAATCCAGTGCACACGGGCGCAGGATCACTCGTGTCCTCACGAGCTCTGTGACACAACCTTCAGATACCACTCAGGGCGCAGATACACGCGCAGCCGAAGGCCCAAGGGAGCAGCGAGGGAACTAATGAGACGCATGCGCGTCATACCAAGCGGTAGACAACACAAATCATGAACCTGCCCCACCGCAAAAAAAATCCGATGGAGTGAAAAAATCGCGGGTCCATGCGATGGTCGAAAAAAAAAAAAAAAGATCAAGTGGATGAAAGCGTGCCCATCATGGCCGACAGTGCACATCCCCCACCTCCTCTCCTCAGATCCCTGCCCAGAGCCCCGTACACAAACAGACGGTGCTTCCGGGGGCCCGGTCCTCTAGCTGGTGGAAAAAAGCTGGCCCATGCCTCCCGGGCTGGAGAATTCGCTGGCGTGGCTCCTGACGGGGCCAAGCCTGCACGGGCCAGCACGGGCTGCATGCCGCCCAGGCAGGACGACTGCTGCCGGTGCGCCGCCCGCAAATGATTGCATATGGTGCCCAGGCACCGCGCAGCCAGCGGGGGATGTCGACCCGTCTCCCTGGCTAGCGCAGCCGACGGCCAGGCAGGACGACTGCTGCTCGTGCGCCTGCCGCAGATGATTGCGTATGGTGCCCAAGCGCGGTGCCCAAGCGCGCCGCGCGCCCCTGTACGGTGCGGCGCAGGCCCGAGCGCAGATGGCCCGAGCCGCGGTGCGGGGCGGAAGGAGAGATGCGACCCTGTGGACTCCTCCCCCGCCTCCTCCATCCTCCTCCTCCTCCTCGGGGCGGGAGGAGAGAGATGCGACCCTGTGGACTGCCACTCGGGGCCCACGGGGAGAGCGAGAGGGGCACCACTCCAGAGCTCAGCTGCTCCAACACGCTACGCGCGAGCTCCCCAGACCTCAACCGGTCCCAGGGAATCGGCCCGGACCTCTGGGGGTCGCGTCACGGGCCGCGCGGGCGGGCCGTCGCCGCGGGCTCGCTCGGGGCCGGACGCCGTGCGCGGCGCCCCGGCGGCCCAGGCGCGCCGCGCCCCGTGCGCCGGCTCGCCGCGGCACGGCGCCGCGGGGCGCAGGTGGGCTCCCGGCTGCCCGCGCGCCCCCGCGCACGAGCGGGAGCGCGGCGTCGCCGAAGCGCCGTCGGCCGTCACGGGCGGGAGCCCGCTGGCCGGCAGGCCCCGGGGGCGCCGCAGGGCTGCGCGCGGGAGGACCGCGGGCGGCCGCCTCGCCCTGCCCGCCGCGGGCAGCTCGGCGAGCAGGAGGTCCTCGTCGAAGGGCGTGGCGAGCAGGAGGTCCTCGTCGCGCATGGGCCTGGAGAGCAGGATGTGCGTCCGCGGCGGTGCGTCGTCCGCGTCGGCCGCCATCACGCGCGGAGTCTCGAGCACTGGGGGCAGCTGACCGTCTCCTCCAGCAACGCGTGCGGGCGGATGAAAGGTGCCGCACGCCATGCCCAGAGCAAGAGTCGAGAGACCGTGGAAAAAGCAAAAAAGAACACCCACGGTAATGCTTGAGCCAGAAATGGCTTGAGCCAAAATGGCTACGGAGTTTCTCTGGCAGTCCTTTGATATCGCCTACTCAAGCCAGTGCAGCATTCCTTCATTATCAGCGGGTGCCCATCGCATCGCACAATGCTCAACACATACAGCTGCGCGACGCTCGGTGAAAATACCAGATGGAACAGGAGCTGTACCTCAACACACGTGAGCTTACACAATGCTGCTTCTGCGTCGACGAATACACCGACACACGTGGCATGTGCGACAACGTCCAACAGACAAGAGAAAAACACGACAATGCTACCCACTGTCTAAACACAAGTAATCGAAGAGACAATATAATGCAGGCGAATGCAAGACCCCTCCTTGCACCACGCATTGCTGACGTACGTGTGAGAGCAGCATGTCAAATCCATCGCCGGCGATAACATCACCACTGCACGTATAGAAGACACCAAATCCGGGTGGTCCTGAAAGCAGGAGGAGGATAGGGAGGAGGTGGAGGACGAGGAGGGGAAGAGGAGGATAAGGAGGAGGAAGAGCAGGATGAGGAGGTGGAGGAGGAAGAGGAGGACGAGGGCGAGGAATACGAGCATGCCTGGAACAACGCGCGCGCTTCCCGCCACATTCCTTTGACACGCTCACACTGAAGATTCAAAGGTACGGCAGGGCCGAGGAGGAGGAGGAGGGCTTGGGAGGGAGGCCTCCAGAGTCCCGAGGCCTCCAGAAGAGCCTCTGGAGATCCGAGGCCCCTGGAAATCCCAGAGGTCGTCGGCCACCCCTCCCTCCCCCCAAAGCTCACACTTCTCCATTCTGAGGCATGACAGGAGCCAGGCGAACCAGCAGGCTCCAGGGTAGTGTTTGAATACATAGGATTTTTAAACATATTGGATTTTGAATACATGATCAATGTATGAAAACATCTATGCATGAACTCATCGTTGTTTTTGATACTAAATCCCTGCATTTTTAAGTCATGATTCGCACGCGGAGCATGTATTAAAAACGGCACTGTAAGCTCAAACTCCTCCATCCTGAGGCATGACAGGGGCCAGGCGAACCAGCAGGCTCGTGTCGTGACAGCTCTGGCCTTGGTGCCTGCCACCGCGTAGAGTGTTCAGCCTTGAACGATCGGTGCTATGCAATCGCCAGAGCGTTCCAGATCATGCGTTCTTCTGCACGCTCCAGCAGTCCAGTGCTCAAGATGGGCCGACTCAATGCTGGCAAAAGGAAACACCCGAAAACGGGCAACATGCCGTGTTCCGTCCCTTCACGGCACTTGTGAAACGTGAAGCCCGACTTCGATCAACCGGTTTGGAGCGACGCTGTTGGTGGAGGGAAGCGATCAACTGTTCGCATGCACACCCCAATCAGCGATGCTGCATTTTGTTCCCGATGTGCCCTCGTCGCATTGGGAGGCCCCTGGGCCTGAAAACGTCCCCCAGACCTTGATTCCCACCTGGGCTCTGGACGTAGGAGGGTTACCGAGCAGTTCTTCGAGCCGCATTCTTCCCATTCGTGGAGGGAACACCTCTGCTGCTCATTAATACAAACCCCCTCCCTTCTCGACTGGCCGCCGACCTGGAATAATGGTCCCCCCTGCCATCCCTGAACATGCACGCGGCGGCACAATCTGGATCATGAGCGCCCCCGCCCAATGTTGGACAAGGATGCCAGCGGGGGAACAACATGTTCGCCGTGCGCTCACCCCCCGGCCGCCTCAACAGCCAAGGCAAGAATACAAACAGACCTCTGGACGAAGGTGGTATGACGAGTTGTTTCCTTGCCTTTTCCAATGTGTCCCCCCCCTGCCTTTGAGATGGGCACATGATTGCTCCTGTGTGCGGCAAGGAATTGCCTGAAGAAGTCTCAAATGAATAATTTTTCAACTACTTCGTAACACGTCCTATGCTGCGGCCCACGGCTGTAACCGCCTGGCCAGCCGTCAGGATGCGGGTTGAGCCGGCTCGTCTGGCTAACCTGATTCGCCCGTTGTCGCGGACCTCCAACGCCTCCACCAACTCCAGGCTCTGCGCTGGCAAACTCTGGGCTCTGCGCTGAGCCGGCTTGCCGCAACAGTTCCTTTTTCATATCTGCCACCATGCCCTGAGGAACGAATTGGAGTGTCCCCAGGTCTTTGGCCTAATCCCTCAAGACTCAGTCCTCGATCCTGAGGATGTTTCAAAGGGGCCCAGACCCAAAATTCATAAATTGCTAGAGGCGTGTCGCACGCCCCTTGGGCCCCGACCCGCCTTGTCGCATAATTTCGGACCCTAAGGCCCCAAGACAAGCCAAGAGTGACCCAAGAAGGCCCCAATACTGGTCAAGAGGGCCCCAAATCGGCCCAATTGAGGGTCAACACGGCCCCAAGTGGGGCCCCAGAGAGGGTATAGACCCCGGCTACCCTAGGGCCTACTGAAGACCCTAAGGCTTGCCTAGGGTGGGGCCTACTGAAAGTCCTAGGCTTTCCTAGGGTAGGGCCGACTGAAGGCCCTAGGCTTGCCTAGGGTAGGGTCTACTGAAAGCCCTAGGCTTGCCAAGGGTAGAGCCTACTGAAGGCCCTAGGGTAGCCCTAGGGTAGCCTTAGGGTAGGGCCCAGGGGTAGCCCTAGGGTAGCCCCAGGGGAAGACCATAAGGGTAGCCCTAGGGAAACACTACGGGTGTGCCCTAGGGGTACCCCGAGGCCTCCTCCTCCGTCCCCTCCTTCAACCTCAAGCTCCCATCTTTGAGCGTGAAATTCGGACCCCCCCCCCTCCCCCCTTTCGCCACGCCGCCCCCTGGCTCCGGAACCCGATCCCTACCACACCTAACCCTCAACCTACTGCCTGCCCTAACCCCTGACCCCTAACCTAACCCCCCACTCCTAACCCTAACCCCTACCCTACGCCTAACCTTACCCTCTACCCAAACCCCTACCGTAACCCCTAATTCAAACCCTAATCCCCACCCTAACCCCTACCCTAAGCCCTAGCCCTAAACCTTACCCCTACCCGAACCCTAACCCCTACCCAAACCCCTGATCCTAACCCTGACCCCTACCCTAACCCTAGCCCTACCCCCTACAACTAACCCGAACCCTACCCCTTACCCGTAACCCTGGCCTCTCTAACCCTAACCCTAATCCCTGACCCTAACCCTGAGACCTAACCCTAACACCTAACCCTACTCTAACCCCTAACCCTGACCCTGTTCCCTAACCCTTACCCTAAGCCCTAATCCAACCCCCTAAACCCTAACCCTAACCCCCAGCCCTGCCTTAACCCCTACCCTAACCCCTAACCTTCATCCTAACCCCTACCCTAAACCCTAACCTAACCCCTACCCCTGACCCAAACCCTCAACCCCAACCCTATGCCCTAACCCTAACCCCTAAACTCTACCCTAAGCCCTAACCGTAACCCTAATCCATAAGATTAACCCTGAGCCCTAACCCAACCCCCCCACAACCCCACCCTAACCCCTACCCCAACACTAGTTAACCTTTACCCTAACCCCCACCCTAACCCCCAACCCCCACCCCTACCCTAAACCCTAACCCGAACCAAACCCCCAATCCCAACCCTAACCCCTACCCTAACCTGAACCTAACCTCAACCCTAAACCCTCACCCCTCACGTCTAGCCCCCTTTCCCTAACCCTAACCCCTAACCTTAAGCCTAAACCCTAACCCTAACCCCGAATCCCAACCCTACCCTACCCTAACCCTAACCCTAACCCTAACCCTAACCTTAGCCCCTACCCTTAACCCTGACCTTAACCCGTAACGCTAACCCTTGCCCCTACCCTGAACCCTAACCAAAACCCCATAACCCTAACGCCTACCCTAACCCTAACCCCTACCTCAACCATAACCCCTAACCCCGAATACCCTCACCCTAACCCTCACCCCTACCCTAAACCCGAACCCGACCCCTTCGCATAACCCTAGCCCCTAACCCTAACCCGAATCCCTGACCCTAACCCTCTCCACAGCCTCCAGCGGTCTGGAGCGGAGAGAGCCTCCCCACCTGCCCCCCCCCCCTTGCCTGGCCAAAGGGGGGACAGGGGGGGGTCCAAAATCGCCCCCCCCGTCTCCAGCGCCCAGGGGAAGGGGGGGGGTCCGAAAATGTCCCCCCCCCCCCCCTTTATGGGGGGGGGAGGGGGGGGGTTAGGAGCACCCCCCCTTTTCAATTACGAGGTGATCCACTGGCGCTCTTTCCAAAAACTGCCCAAAAGAGAAGGCAACACACTGCTTCCTTTCTCGAGGGGCGAACTCGACATTTCCTCCGCTGTTGGCCGTGGGGCCCAACACCACCCCAAAAAGGCCCTCGGACCCACCCGCAGGAGGCCCGGGGGGGCTCCGCGACCCGCAGAGCGAGCCCCCAAAGAGGGCCCCACAAGGATACCCCGAGGCCCGCGGGGAACCCCACAAGAACCACGAAATGGCTCAGAGAGCCCCCCCAAACAATAAAAGCGCCCGGGGACACACACGCACACACACACACACAAAACATCCCCCATATATTCTCATATGTAAATGGTTTTGCCTTCCTCCCACTTCCCATATGTTCCCATGTTCCATGGGGGATCGACACTGGATTAACCATGCGCGGGCGATACTAACCCCCCTGGGATAATAAAGTTCGCGGTTCCCGCGGGAATAATACAGGATTTGCCCGGGGGAGGTAAGTTATGATGACGATGATGACGATGATGAAGAGGAGGAGGACGGGGAGGAGGAGGAGGTTAAACCAGGCGCACGACACAAGACTGACTCGAGAGATCTCGAAGCTAGTGGCTACTTGCCCGCAGAGGCGCACGACGCCAATGGCGCCGAGCTTGCGGAGGATCCTCGTGGCGGCCTTGGAAGGCCACGTGCGAACCCGGCCCACGATTTTCTGAAGAGGAGGAGGAAGAGGAGGAGGAGGAGGAGGAGGAGGAGGAGGAGGAGGAGGAGGAGGAGGAGGAGGGAGGGGTTGATTGTACTATAAATAATCGGAGCGCGGGCAGGAAGAGAGGAATAATAATGGTGGGAGACGGAAGAGAAAACAGGATGACCCAAGGATCGGTTTTGAACAAAAAACGGTTCGGGGCATCATGTTTTTTTATTGTTTGATAAAGCAGCTTATTGTTAATCGTTTTCAAGATCGCATGAAGGGGGTCCATGATGGGACCCGGCGGGGGATAAACCAACCCGAATATAAAAAAGTTCGGCCCCTGGGGGGTCGGAAGGAAGAAAAAGAGACAAGGAAGAAACACAAAAGGAAAAGAAGCGTGGGCCAGGGCAGCTGCGGGGGCAGAGGAGGAGGAGGACGACGAGGAACAGCAGGAGGAAGAGAGAGGGCCACGAACCGTGTGAGGGGTGCGCTAACAAAAAGTAATTCGCTTAACTAACTCCACTGCTCTGCCTGCTCGAAAAACGCATGCACAATCAAACTCCAGTCGGTCCCCCTGGCCCTGCCACGCGTTCCTGATTCGGGAACGGCTAAGACAATGAGAACCCCATGGCCCTGCCGCACTTTCGTAACGTGGGCAAACTGAACTGATGAGAATCCCACCGCCCTGCCACACGCTCGTGATTGCGGAAACTGGTGTGGTGACACCACCTTGGCCTGCTCAGCGCGTTTGATGTTGTCGCTACTCAGAATGATACGATAACAACTTCGGCCCCGCAACTTTCCCGTGGATTATAAAAAAATCCCGCGCCTTCCTCCACAATTGAATCATACCGGTCGGAGATTTTTTACAACATAAAACATTCGGGGGGTTCATGCGGGGGTGCTTTATTATCGCCCGCACCCGGTTATGTCTGCGCTGTGCCCATCCAGAAAGAGGCTCAGAGACCCCCCCCAGAACCTCTCGCAATACCATATCCGGAAAAGGCCGACCCCTCGTCCTCCTTTTCCTCTCTGCGTCCCCGACGCGCTTTGGCAACGGCTGTTCCACCGCCTGCTTCCACACTTCCATCATTCGGGCACCCCCCCGTGCGATCGTTTTTGGATGGGCCGGTGGAGATACTTCGTTGGTCGCGGCCGCAAGCGAAGGCGCAGGCGGCGTCAAGGGTAGACCCGGGCTACGGGTGGAACCTAATTAGCCAACGGAGGCGCGCACGGCTGCTTGAGTGGGGATACTTGTTTGTTCACGAGCGCAAGCGGAAAAACCGCGCGCCGTCAGGAGACTGCCGACTAGCAACGTCCTAAATCTTACCGTCGCTCGGACGTCCATTTCCCGTGTATGTTTCGGTTTCGTGCGTGTTTTTGTTTGCTCGATGGTCCAGGATGATCCTCGATGGTTCTCGCCGAGAAAAAATGCACACGTCCGAGCAATGCCAAGAAATTACAGCGGCCTATCACGAACCGAACGCGCGCAACAGACAAGCGGCGAGCAAAAATGCAACCTCAGCGGAAGAACCAGGCTCAACCGCAGCAGCAGCCCCAGCAGGAGCCCAGCAGCAGGCCAAACTGGCTGTGAATTCGACGGCGCCCACAATGCGATGACGTCACTCACTGGATCATCAAGCGTTCCCTCGGGGTTGGGTCTGCAGGTGACGACCGCAGAACCAGCAATCCACCGCAGTTGTGAGGCACGGTGCCGTCTGACCCCTTCCACGTAGGCGAGCGGGCCTACAATGATAGCGTGTGACCAGCGCTGAAGGTGACGGTCTGCATTCCGGGCATGCCCGGTCGGCAAGGCGTCCTGGCCGAACAAGCGGCGCACCACGGGGCGAGTCCTGACCCACGAGCGGTGCACTGGTGGGGATACGCGCAGCGCCAAGAAATTGTTTCGCTGTGCGATCGCCCACTGTCCGCATCGCACGCCAAGGCACATCGACTCCTAGTTCCCAGAACGCATACACACGCACACACCTCACCAGTTGCCGGTACCAACGCCGCAACTCCGCTGCTGCTTTGCAGACGTTGTTGGGCAAGCATGGTGAAGATATCGACAAGTTGCCCGACGCGTACTGTCACACACACTGGCGCACCTGTCTCCCCCTGGCAACTCTTCGCACGTCGCGCACGTGGCGCACTTGGCGCGGCTGGAGCATGCGGCACTTGGTGCACGTGGCGCATGTGGAGCACCAGGTACGCCTGGGATACTCGAGGCCCCAGCTTACCTGACGCGCCTGGTTCGCGTGGCGCACCTGGCACTCGTTGCGTACCTCGAGGAGTTCGACCACCTGGTGTCTATGTCGGTTCCCGATGGCTGTCAAACCGATTGCGACGTCTGCCTATGCTGAGGCTGGGGTGCTACTTGCACGATGGGAAGAAGGGCCGGAGTGTTCGAGGCAGCTTGTGGCTAGCTCGATGGGAACTCGACCACAAACCGATCCCCTGGGGTCCGACCGAGGCGTCGCAAGGGGTAGGCGCGTGATCGATGACTCTTAGATGGCTTGGCACGTCATCTAAGGCAGGCCAAGGCAGGCCAAGTTGCTCTCCAGGGTTGCTCAAGATTGCCCAAGATGGCAAGGCACGCCGTCTCAGACCGCCACGAAACGTCTCCAAGTGGGCACTGAGACACCCAGCGATGCCCCCGAGAGGCCAACATCAATTTCAAAACGCCAAGTGGTGTCAATGATTGTGGCCATCTCAACCGTTCGCTTCTGATGGGCTGCTGAGGCCTCAAGATGGCTCCACGATATGGCAACGGGGGGAACCCCCGCAGTGTTCGACAAGGATACGACGGCCTTTCCGCCTCCTCCTCCTCCTTCTCCTCCATCGATCGCCGCAAGAGCGCCCCCAGAGGGGAAATGCCGATTCAGGCCGCCCCCACGTGGGGTCGATGCAATCCAAGGTGGCCGCCAAGACCCCACAGAGGGCCCACAGATGACCTCTAAGAGTTGGGCTGCTGGGGATAAGCACAAGGCTTGCAAGAAGAACAAGCCATGCTGCATTCTTCAAGACGCTGACAGCCTGAGCAATAGTTATAATCAATCCACTGTGCTCAGCGCCAGCCGGGTATGTACTCGGCAGACCGAAGTCGGATTCATGCGGAGCGGCAGCGCGTTCCAGCCACTTTGCTGAGTCATCCCGCGCGAATGCGACGCTTCCCTTCCGCTTTCCTGCACGCTGCCAGGAGCACCCGCCCAGCCAGAGTGCAGTCGATGCGGCTGTCCCGGGCCATCAGGGCCAACACCGAGAAGGCCTGCGTCCCGCCGGAGGAATCCCCGGCGATGATCATGTCCGCGGGAGCCGTGCGTGGCTCCATGGTGACGGGGTCGAACCTGCCCCCACCCTGGCAGTGCGAGGGAGGACGACGGGGGGGCGGGGACCAGCCGGCCGCTCAACGCCCTCGGCCCCACTAGGGGAACAAAAAGTGGCATAAACATAAAAACTCGGAGGTCCGCGCGGATTTTTCGGATTGGCGCTGGGCCCCCCCGGCGGCGCCTCCGGCGCCGCCCCTGGCGCGCTCCGAGGGAAGTCCAGCGCCGATCCGAGAAATTCGCGCGGACCTGCGAGTTTTTGTATGTTTATGCCACTTTTTGTTCCCCTACCCACGGAGGCACTCGCCCGCGGGCCCCCGGGCCCGTCGCCAGGGCCACCTGCGGCGGAGTCCCGCCGCGGGGCCCCGGGGCCCGTCCGCAGAGCCACCTCTGCGGAGGAGAGTCCCGACGCCGTGCCTATAGTTATGCTGCCCCCATCGTACTTCAGGACCACATCCCAGAAATACTTTCGAGCACCTGGAAGAGTGTCGAAAAAGTGTCGCAACAGTGTCGAAGCAATGTCGGACGAGTGTCTCCCAGGGCCCGGCACGCGAAAATCCTCAAGTTTCGGTACTTTTTTGGTGCTCGAAACCCTTTCCGGCGGTCAAGGCTAAAGTAGGTTGGAACATCATAAGCCTATAGGGCAGGGCGCCTGGAGGCTCCGGGGCAGCGGCGAAAACGTCACCGCACAGGGGCAGGCAAGAGCTTCCCGCCCGCAGGGGAAGTGGCAACGCTTCCTCCACGAGGGAGATCTCAGGGGAACAGAAAGTGGCATAGACATAAAAACTCGGAGGTCCGCGCGAATTTCTCGGATCGGCGCTGGGGCCCCCCGGCGGCGCCTCCGGCGCCGCCCCTGGCGCGCTCCGCGCGCCAGAGAGGGGGGTCCAGCGCCGATCCGAGAAATCCGCGCGGACCTCCGAGGTTTCATGTTTATGCCACGTTTTGTTCCCCTAAGATCCACGCACATCAAGCTCAGGATTAAGCTGGCTGAAACGGGGCCAAGCGCGAGTGTGCCGGACCGGGCGGGATGAGGCCAGACGTCGCCCCATCGATGCTGAAACAGGAATTGCACCCTGATCTCTGCTTCTCAACTGAGGACTGGGGGCTAACACTACCGAGCACTTTAATCCTCAGTCCCGCCTCCACTCGACACCCAGACCGCGCGCGGCCCACAGAGACACTCCCGACGGCATGAACAAACACAGACTTCCGCAGGCTCCCGCAGACTGCCTGGGCAAGAGAGGACAGCCAGAAGCTCACGCGCACATTTCGGTGCGTCCGCTGGGCCAGCAAGCCACGACACGCACACTGCAAGGCGCCGCTTCTCCAGCCGGGCTGGGCCGCACTCGGCCATGGATCACACGACAGATGTTGGCAGGACCCTATATGCAGACACTGAAGGGGCCCCAGGACACACAAATACATACACACAAATATAAATATTCTTATCATTTTCATATTTTTTCTGGGTTTTCGTCTTCCCCACCACTTCCCATATCTTCCCATATTTTCTGGGGAGCCGACGATTAATTGTGTATGTGTGTTTTTTCCCTCCTGAGACACGGCAGTCGGGACCAGCAGCGAGAAGTCGACCAGAGAAATGAAAAAGCCCTTCGGTATGCGGGTCGCGGTGTGCCGAGGGCCGCCGAGGCTCACAACCTTCTCGTATGCTCAAGGACATATTAGATTGGCGATGTAAGTAAACCAGGCTGCCTTGCATTCCATGGGGGTGGGGGGGATGAGGATCTGGAAGGGGGCAGAGAGGGGGGAGCATGGGGATGCGGGAGAGAGGCGGATGCCCCCCCCCCCCAACAAAAAAACATACGTTCTTGGGATCCCCGACCCCAGGGTCAATACTACCCCCCCCATCACTTCAATGGGTGGCGCACTTTAAATCATGGCGCGCAGGGGACGGTCTGACAAAGAAGGGCCTTTTGAAAACGGCCCGGGGATCGCTTCAAAGACCGCGAGGCGCTTTCGGCGCTGAAGGCCATTACGCGCCGCTCGGGAAAGGCATAAAACGAGCTGCCCGTAGTGGGGCAAGAGGATGCCAAGCATCGAAGGCAAGGAGGATAATGATAATTAAGGGGAGAAAGAGGAGGAAGAGGACCACTGCAAACCCGAGATTCATCAACGCTATTGCAATAAACCCTCCCCCAAGTTCCCTCCACATGGGCCCCTAGGAATATTCACTTTCACTGAAAGAGGAAGTGCCCACTTGAAAGACAACGGCTCGAAAAAAGGAGCCATGCAAGAACGCCAATCATGGGACTTCAACGATGCGAATCACCGTCACTGTTGCGTCCTGGTGGTCGTGAGCCGTGCCAGAACACCGTCCGTGAGACATCACCACCGCGAAACAAAATGCGCTGCGTCTCGAATCAATCGACTCTTCGACATCGTGCAAGAGAGCATTTTTGGGTGTCTAGCCATGGGAGTGATTGAAACGGTTGCGAACTCGTAAGACGAATGGGCGCGGCTCTAACGCGAAAGCCGTTTTTCTGAAAAAAACGCCTTCAATCCGTGAAATGTCTCGCACACTTGTAAAACGAATGTGCGCGGCGCTGAAGCGAGATACCACATTTTGAAATGAACCCGCCCTCCGTCCGTGAAGTGTCTGCAACATATTAGGCAGAAAAAAACGTGGCGCAGATGCGAACGCCACATGCTGAAAATGCGCCGCTATCCATCCGCGTAACCCTTACGAAGTGTCAAACACGAGTGGGGCGACAGCCGCGTTTTTGGGAAAATGACCCGCCCTCCATCCGTGAAGCTGTTCCACAATGACAGAGGGCGAAGAGCTGTCAGTCGAAACGCCCGGCCCGCTCATTCGACTGGCTTCGGGGCGCGACGCGGAATGATCACTTTTAAGAAGAAAGGGATGGACGGGGAGGGAAGCGGGACGAGGTTGGAGAGGGGATATATGCCCGCGCGCGTGGACGAGGGGCGAGAGAAAAAGGGCGTGGAAGGGGGGGCGGAGAGAGAAGGGGCGAGGGAGGAGGGGGAAGAGCAGGTGAAAAACAGTTTCGTCCACCGCATGACGCACGCCAATATCCATGATCAGTCCTCCGCGTGGCGAGCAGCCCAAAAACGGGCGCGCGCCCAATTGGGGGGGACGAGAAAAAAAAAGCAGAGCGACGAAAGAGGGGCGGCAGGCGGTGCGGCAGGGTAATGCAGCGGTCGGTGTCTCCCTAGCGCGCGATCGACGAAGAACGCACCCACTCCCCCCGCGAGACCCGCCGTCGGACGAAGAGCCCACCCAACACCACCACCACCAGCGGCACCAGCACAGCGGAGAAGCAGCAAGGGGGGCGCGCAGGGGGCAGAGCACGCAGCAACACTTGCGACGAGGCCGCGGCACTAAAAGAATCATGCAGGGGGCACGAACACGGGTGGGGGGCAAAGCAAAGCGGGGGCACCGAGCCCGCCGCACTCCCTCTGCTGTCAGGCAGGCGCGAACTTTTTTCTATATATATATATATATATATATATATATATGTGTATGAATACGCGCAAAAAAAAACAAGGCCTCGGAGCAAAAGAGGAGGCGCCGCGCGCGTCGACGAAGGCATCGGGGGACGGGGCGCGGCGGGCGCCCGACGGGAAGCAATTGCGCGGGCGGAGGCGGCGTCGGGGCGGGCGCCGCGGAGAGCCCATCAAGCCCGAGAGCGGCGCGGCGGCCGGCGGGGGGGGAGAGCGCGCGAGAGCGGGCGCGGGGGGCCGGAAGGGCAGGAGACCAGCCGAGGGAACTGCAACTGTCAGCGACACCGCGGAAGCGCGCTGGCACCGCGGGCGCGGGAGGAGAAGCCTGCACGTGGGCAACACAGCGCAGCATTGCGTTGGAGGGGGCGGCCGTGCGCGGCAGGGGCCGCGACCCCCCCGGGGCCCGGGGGCCGCGCCGCGGCGCCGATGCAATGGCCCGCCCGACGGCGAGGGGGCAAGGGCATCAGACGGGACTAGGGCAGGCCCGAGGAAACGCCACGAGGGCCAGGGAGGCGAGACCACAGACAGGCCACAACGCGAAAGCAAGAAATCCAGCGCGGGCAACCTGAAGGCGCGAGTTGGCCGGCAAGGAGCCGCCACCACTGGCGCTGTCTTCGCTGACCGCGCGGGGGGGGGGGCCAATGCACGGATGCCCGGCGCATCGCGCCCATGGCAGGACATGCCGCGCAGATGCCCAAACAGCAGGGGCGATCGAGAAGGCCACAAGAGAGGAGAGGAGAGGAGAGGAGAGGAGAGGAGAGGAGAGGAGAGGAGAGGAGAGGAGAGGAGAGGAGAGGAGAGGAGAGGGAGGGGAGGGAGGGGAGGGGAGGGGAGAGGAGAGACGAGGAGAGCGGGGTGTCCACGCGGGGCGCAGGAGAACAGCGCGGCAGCTTAGGGCCCAGAAGTATTGCCTGTCCCTCCAGGCCCATGATTAACAACTGCCACCTTGTTGCGCCACCTGGCACTCAGCCTCTGTCGGGCACGGGGCACCTGCGACGGGCCCAGAAAGCGCCCAAATATGATGGCGGGCGCGCATCTGAACGAAGGTGCCCACGCAGGCAGCAACAGCAGCAACGTTCCGATCACCGCCCAACTTCGGCCTGGGGGTCGCCAGGATACGGGGCCATTAGTCCTCGCCATTCAACGACTGCTGTCAAAAACCTGAGGCATTCGAGACCTCGGGGATCCACTGCAAAGCCGGCCCCTGCAAGAAGCATGTCGCGGGGCCCCCGCAATGGAAGCGGCGCCCGCGGTCCTCTCCACGGCGCCTGGCAGTGGTGCGCGCCCCTCTCGACAAGATCATAGTGGCGCCTGCGGCAAGGTGAACGCGCGCGGCCTTCTCCCGTGCACTAGGCCTGCGTCGCGGCTGGAATTATGCATGTAAATCGCCGAGCCACAGCCCAAATCAGACGCGCAGATCAATCATGGGACGGCCTTCGCCCGAAGCCCGCGGAGATGCTCGTGAACTCTGGCCGCGATCAGCTCCCGATGTCCCCTCGAAGGTGCTCCCAGAGCACCAGCGGCATCATCGCTCGCAT